TAAAAAAATATCGGATGTGGCAAATGATGGGGAAAATGCTGAGTGTGATGAGAAAAATAAAATGTTTGACTTTTGAATGTATTTACGCATTCTTGTATCTTCAGAGATAATTTATTTTGTATCATTTGGGCCGTATCTTAATCGTCATTTCCATATTTTCCCTGTTCAAAATCATGTGTAACAAAATAATGTACCTATCTAAAAGTTCTTCGTAAATTGTAACCGCGATGCTAAAGGAGCAACACGTTCTCATGTTCTTGATAACTTGTAAGACGAATACATGAACGTAGGAGTCATAAATTTCATAAACGTTTGGAAATGTAAATCAAGGGAAATGAATCTATAAAGAAGGGAATTGAACAAGGTGCAGCGTTGGGAATTAAATTGTAATGAAGTAACTAAACGATCAAAGATGCTAAACAAACGTAAATACTGAATAAAAAGAAAAATAATAAACATTCTGAAAGTAGCCTAAAAACGCTTCAGTTATCGACAGATTAAGGGAGACAAGGAAAGGCGAAACGGGAAAAGGTGTGTGAGTGAGATGGTAATTAGGAAACTATACAAAACAAAACGAACTGTAGTCATACATTTTTTGTTATCACAAGGTTGTGAAATATTGAATAGACAAATACTGTAAAATTTACTCTGAGATTGGAGAGCATGAGGTTAAGGAGGTAAGGGCACAAACATGTAAAGAGGTGACTGTGTGAGAAAGGGAACACGAAGTGAGAACGTTCTTCGAAGTGGACAGAAGTGGGACGGGAAACAAGGTGAGAACGACAACCGTGGATGGAGACAAGGTTCCCAGTGACTCAATGTTGTGCTTGCCTGTTGCGTACATACATACACTCAAAAACTCTTAGAAAACACTTGCGTTGCAAAACGGATTATTTAACAGGACATAACTCGGGTTATGATTTTATCTACATGAAGGCGATCATCAAATATAGAATACTAAGCCAATTTTCACAAACTTTATCCATCCAGTTGCTACGATACGCAATTTTTAATAAAAGCACAATAGTAAGACGTATTACAGCTTAATGTATTGCAGAATGCATGGGCACCTGGCGATCTCATTAAAATTGAATGCACAAAATTCTGTATTTTTACTACATTACTACATTCGTACCGTCTACGACCACTGTATGTACTTTTTATTCAGCATAAGTATTATTTGTTTTGGTGCGCGGAGGTGTCTTAAAAATGTATATAATATATATTTTAATTATATATATATATAATATAATATACGCCTATATATAATATCTATATATATATATTATAGATATTCGGACGTTTTATATGTATTCATATATATTCCATCTTGTTATTTGCATATTCCGGTGTTATTAGTACTCCAGGCTTTCGAAATTCGTTTTGACAGTTACACCGTATCATACACTTTGCATACTATCAAATGGAAGAGAAGCTGGACATTTCTCCTCTCTTGAATGTCGTCAAGCTCGAAGGCGGGAAGACCAACGATGAGCGCAAATTGTAGCCTGCAAACGCTTGGCATTTGTAATACAGAAATGTCAGACATAGCGGTTTAGTAAATGGGGCACTTAGCTCAAGACGGCACCGAAGGTGGCCCCGGCTTACGAGTTTTACAGTCGGTTTATTCCTCTGCTATTTGGTGCGAAATGCCGCGCATGGACGGCCCCCTACGCATTCCTCGCTTGGCGCGTTTCCAGGGCGGGAAAGCTCCGAGTGAACGAAGGGACAAGGACGAGACTCGTCATTGATAGAATTGGGTTTCGACAGTTCTGCCATCCAGTTCCGCGTGCCAATTGTTTCTCCTTTACCTTCCATAAAGGAATGTGAAAATGGAGAGAGATCGTGTCACTTTCAGCTCTATAAACGTTTACGACTACTTGCTTATTGACGTTATGTACTCCTCTCTTCTCCTCCCACAGGACGAACAATGTGGGCTGACTGTTTTTTTTAACTTTTTGGTGGGCTTAGTAATGAAAACTAGCATCTTTGTGTAATAGATCTGCGCACGACACTTTGCGATAAGAGAAACCTCGATAAGCTGCTTCCTTTTGCTTGCGACACACCATTCAAGCAGGTCGCAATCAGTCAGAAATCGTGTACTCAATACTGTCAGTTTGGAATAAATATGCATGATCTCCCGCAAATGTTGTGGTAAAATAACGAAGTAGCAGTAGACCCACATCTTCAAATCTCTGTAGGGGGCTCATTAGTTTAGCTGTGAAAAAATAGGTCCTGGTGCTAGGACCTGCTTTTCTGTTAACACATTGCATTTTCCTCACGAAAAATACAACGTCGAGGAATTTTAATTAAATATTTCTGAATTTCATTTTAGGGACCTTCTCTGGTAATAAATGACAAGAGGAAATGAAGGGTCATTGACATATAATATACTTGAACGGTGGTATTTTCTTCCTGTCAGCGCAAATTGCTGACTATCTTACTGTAACTAGCATACTTTATTATCAGATGGAGATATGTCTCTCTATTCCATTAATAATAAAGAAAATGTAAAAATTCAGTTTGGAAGAGTCATAAAATAATTGATTTTCGTTTTATGCCAAGTTTTATGTACCTTCGATTTTGGAGGACATCATTTGAACGCGTGTGGACCACATACCGATAATGATACAGGTGCCGTAAACCACTTTTTGCGACAAAAATTATTAGCTTTGTTGGTATTAGAAACTCAGAAAATCAGTTTATCACACGAAAAATAGTTGTTTTTTATCTGCAACATTACAACCCTTTATCTGTACTACGTAAGCAATATAAGAGAAAACAAAAATTATTTACTCTTAACTTACGACCATGTATTTAGGCATGTGAGACGTACGCTCATGAACTCTCCGCAGTTCCAAGGTCATTTTCTCTTTGTTTCTAGTCTATACCTCTCTAGATTTTCTGCGTTGTACCAGCATCTAAGTTCAATGTAACAGCATTTGCTAAAGATAGGTCATATTTATTTTACGACAATTATTTTGTGTTTTTAAATGTAAACTACGTATTTTTGACGGCGCAGATAGCGGGGGGATGAAGAAAAGATAACGACCCATCGCGTCATTGAATGAAAGAGCCAACAATGAAACATTAAGTTAAAATACGCACTTGTGATTCGGCAGTTGGATGTTAGGTGACCATATGTTCCTAAATCTTAAGTTAATGTGGAATTTTAGAACTTGCTAATTAGTGTGGTCGGACAGTTCCTTGATGAGTATACTTCAGCCATTTCCGTGGTTTCCTCCGATCTATCTCCGACAGGTGACGGAGTAGTACCTTAAACAACGGGCCGCGCCTCGCATGCGATGCTATCTCATTCCTCCTAGCATCATTGTATCGGGCGATGGATCTGCATCCCGACGAGCTCCAAAGACAGCGACAATTCGGCGAGTACGCGTTTCACAATCAAGCCTCCAGCTCGGAGGTAGCTGTATCGAACATCAGTAAGAACAACACAAAAAAAAGGGGCAGAAACGGTGTGTTAGTTGTGGCGCGCGACCAAGTTCAGTGCCGCGCGTTGTTGTATTCCGCGTCCGCCCGGGGCGCTGCTCGGCGGCAGCGAAAGTCCTCTCGCAATTGCGCGGTTCCGCCCGTGTGCGCGTAGCGTCCCGTCGCTCCGCGGACCTCGCGCAGGCTGTGGCTGTCCGCTGCCACTGAGGCTTCTCGGAGATAGATTCCACTCGGTTTACTCGATGTTGGTGATAATTACGATAAAAAACGTTTATATTACTGTTAAGGTTCAGCCGCTGTCTGGAAGAGAATTCTAGCGGCCGGCTACTCAGGTCGGTAGTTTTCTGTGTTTTCTCTGGTCAACCGGACCAGTACCCTAACAAACGCGCCATGAACCGCGCGCTATCTTTCCTTCTTCCTCCTTGTCCTATCCTCACCCCTTACTTACGCACACTTTCACATGCACTACGGGCACTACTCACATGCGGGAGACAAGTTGAGCACATAGAGCTTGTCCCGGTTATGACGGTGCCACGATGGAGGGAGAAACCTGGGTGGGAAAATACTCTAAAGCTGCATAGGTCGGCGCCCCATCTCGCCATTCAGCAGGGAAAGAGCACCACTACCACTAGCAGTAAAACACGCTCTACACTTAGGGTACTAATGACCTTATCAATTGACGCTCCCGCACTTACTTATCTATCAATCAATAAATATTAATGTTAACAAATTAGTTATTTAATATAAAAGTTAATACGGTAAAGAAAAAATGGAGCGAAAATGTCCCGCCCAATCACAGAAAAGCAAGAATTGACGATATAGGGGGATATATGACGTATAGCAGGTGGACAAAGAAATATTTAATAATTAAATAATTATTTTCAAGTGATATTCGAGAAAGAAAATGGACTAACCGGGCAGAAGCGTAATGACTTATAATTGAATTGAGGAATGTGAGAATGACACTAAAATCGCAGGAAATTGATCAATTAGCTATTTGATTGAATGCCGTTCTCGAGTTCCTTGAGCTGTTCAACACCTATCATTTGATTTGTTTCAAAATTGAATTTCAATTTCGTTTCTTTTGCTTTGTATGATAACATGTTTGGCTAGTCGTGGCATTTTTCTGTTGATATATACATGCTTAGTATTCTATGTTACTGAATTTTCCATTCATATGTATGACTTGCACTGAATTGGAACCAGCAACCACTGCCTTCATCGAACGTGGTTTCTAGCTGACGCAATTTCGCCTTTCTATTCTCGCATCTCGTCCTCGCATCTCATCGCTAACCGAAGTAGTACTTACTGATAATGGCAACAGAACATTACTATCATGACTGATCATGACCACTATCATAATTAATGATCCACTAACTTCATGGGTTGTACTGATAAATATTAGTTATAGATTGATAATTTCTATTTCAATACTATTTCTATACGTATTTCCTGGTATGTTTTTAACTTGATGCAAACATTTTGAATACTTATTTAATATTGAAGCAAATGGAACTCAAATTATAAAGTCTACTTTTGTTTCTTTCCAGGTGAAATCAACAAAGCTGAATTTCTACTGTGCTGGACTTATCAAGGTAATTCACTTTCAACATTTCAGTTAGTACTATTTATTATATATAATAATAATAACAACAATATTAATAATAATAATAACAATAATAATAATAATAACAATAATAATAATAATAACAATAATAATAGTTATGTATATAACTATTATAGTATTATAAGTATTATTTATTATAGATATAACTAACTTGTTAATAACTGAATAAGTAATACGATAATATTATGAACTACATATAATTTTGAATATCTATTTGTCAGATACGCATATAGGGAAATTACTATGTTCGTGCTTTCACGGACTGATTTTGGCAGATTAATCTCTACCATTCGCGTCGTGTGACCCCGGTTGCTATGAAAATACTCGGAACTCGCGCTCCGATTTTTATCGAGGTCGCTAGACACACATCTCAAGCCAAAGCGTTGTAGAAGGTTGTATCGCGACGCTGTAATATCTTGGAGTTTGACAGACGACACGGCCTGGGATTCGAAGCCGTGAACTGAAGATTAAGAGCCGGACACTGGAGCCGTGTAGCTGTCACACTCGCTTAACTGTTATCTCTACGAGCGTCGCTCGTTAAGTCTGGTGCGGCGTTTGCTTTCTCACAGACGTGAACAGCTGGCTGTCAAGAGCGTACGCGGTATCTAATCGTTGGCGAAATAACCCCAGTTCACACCTCGCTCTTGTGGCCAAGACCCCTTAGAGGCAACGGAAAGAAAATGTAATACACAACATGTTTAAGAACCAAACTCTGTACTTTGTTCTACTACTCGCCTTACGTGACATGTCGCCAGTCCCTATTTCTCCTGAGACCTGTTTCCTATAGAGCAGTTAATTCTCTTGATATGGGGAGCATGATTCGTACCTCAAATAAATATCTATTTATTTTAGAATAATTCATTATTTGATCATCAATCCATTAATAGAAAACAAATATTGGGATATTATTTTCAAGAAATTACAAGAATTTTAGGGTTGAATTAATAAAATTGTTGTACGAAATATAAGTTACAGCATTTCTCAAATAATTTATGAAATTATTAGAGAAACACATCTGTTGCTCATTGTGTCACCCATCATTTACATGAAACTATGTGTAATTATGTGTATTAATTAGATGCTGAGAACGTGTAGTATGAAGAGAAAAGATTTCTGCAAGAAGGCTCACCTAAAAGATGAATTCAGACATGAGAGTACAAAAATTTAAGATTGTCAAATTGTAGAAAACGTCTGAAAATTGAACCTTTTACTATAACATATCTAATAATACTTATTTACTTGTCTAAAAAGTCTAATTTCATAATTGGAAAATGGAGCTTCTGGAAATTAATTTTCTGAAAGGACGATGATAGTAAACTATGCTTCATCTTTTAAGAGCTTACATTCAGACATTGCCCTTTTTGCGGATGACACTGCATTATTTACCACACAAAGAGATCTTCTTTTAAGTAGAGATAATATCCAAGATTACCTACATCTCCTCATTTCTTGGTTCATTGATTAACAAATAAAAATAAACCATCAAAACTCTCATGCTGAAATCTATTTAAAACAAATTCTTCCTATTTATACCCTAATAATTAATAACCATGCTGTCAAATGGCTTCCAAATATCACTTCTGTTAAATATCTTGGACTTTAAATGGACACTAAACTAACCTGAAAAAATACACAACATCAATAGCTAATAAAACACATATAAAAGTATTAAAATTACATCAATCCATAAATATCAATAGACACAGAATTAATAATATTTGAATACATTATACAACCTTCACTGCCGAATATGGGGAGGTTCCGATAACAGCAACCTTCGAAAACTGGAAGTACTGCAAAACAAATTCTTAAGAGAAGTTTTAATGGTATATCAGAAATGATCAAATTTTAAAAGAATTATCTATAGAATCTCTAAAAACATTGTTATAACTTGTTATACAGAGTTAAACTTTCTTTCCATTTACACTCTTCTCTTTCATCTTGACCAGCCTCTCGCCTGTACACTGCATCGAGCAATGATGAATCAAGCAATGTTTCATCACGAATAAAATCAAGATATTCTTAAGATCTACTACCTCCTCCTTTATTTGCTATAAACCAGATTGGAATATCCCTAAATTCAAGATATATTTTGCACTCCAAATATTTTATGTATTTTCTAAAGGAGCCTTGCTGAGTATCCTTAGTAGTTATTTTCTAATATTATTGTTTTCAAACACTGTTCATGTACGATGAAATGTAGTTGATAATCCGATTATGTATATTGTATGTAACCTGAAAACCCTTGAAAGGCATACCTTTGTCGAACAAGGATAATAAAACAAGTATAAAAACAAACTTTTAAGAGCATAAGGCGGGATGCACCGGGCCGAGCGGAAATCCCACCGGCGCAGCGCAGCAGCCCCTCGCCGCCCACATTCCGCTCACGTGCCGGGTTCGAGGTTAACGAGCCCCCCATCCGGCGCCGCCGCGCCGCGCCGACTTCCGACGATCGTAACGCGCCCTCGGTGCGTGGGGCCGGGCGCGGCGGCGCTGCGCGGTGTTTGTATGATAATTGCTATGACAAGGACGACACGGGATTCCCGCATCCTCGACGCCACCACCGCCTCTGCCACCGACACCGGGCACCGTTACCGCCACATCCATTGTCACCAGCGTCCACCACGACGGTGGTGAAAATGTCCGACAGGATGGGCAAATAGCGAAAATGATGAGTTGCATATGAGAGGCATGTTTCCAAGAGATTGGAGTTTTTAAAAAAAATAGAGTGTGATATCGAATTTAAAACCTTCCAAACCGTAAAATATGTTAAAGCGATCTAAACACGACAAATCTGTTTGAGGTCTAGTAATGTTTATATGTAAAACATTTGTAATAAAATAAATGTAAAAATAAATCAGAACCTTTGTAATTAAAACGCTTAATATTAAAATATGTTTAATTACTACATGAGTAAAAGTAATTCTCAAAAAAAATGTTTAAAAAAATACTTCGCGCACACGATTTAGTGGTGGTTAGTTAGTTCTACTCTTAGAATCAATAATATAAATCAAATAATAAACCCCTGTAGTATACAGGCATTCAAGGTATTGTTTTTGTTGTTGTCGATTTGGTTGCCTACTTCTAACGTTATCATTTTCACCATTACCTTAAGTTTCACCTTACTTTTTTAACCAGAGTTTGCATTCCTGTTCTTACATTCCTGCCATTCCCGCTGACCCTATCACAACACGTATCCTCCATGTGATGACTTTCGTGAACGCACCGACGCTCTCTGGAACTCATTTCAACCATAACAATCTTGAGCATTACATTTCACGTCTTATTTCATACATGATATCTGCACGAAAATTTAAGGAAAACTGATTATAATATTAACTTTTCATTTTTATGTTTCTTCTTTTCCTCCTCTCCCCTCTCTTTTCCCTCCTTTGCCATTTCACACCATTCTTTTCCCTTTGTATTTCATTTCCTTTTCGTTCTTTTCTTCCATTTTCTATTCTCTCTCTTTCCTTTTCATGAACCCCGTCCCACCACATGTTAACATTTGAGTCACTTTTCTCCCTTGGTTGGAGGTGGTTGTTACGATGATGATGACGCTGATGACAGATATGGGCGCGAGAGGTGAACGAATAATGGAGTGGCAATAGTAGAATGAAAAGGTAAGGACCTTTGAGTATTCTCACGACAACCTGCCGCGAACCTCCTTTGTCCACCGAGAATTCCATTTCCATTAGATGGTCATCAAACCCTCGCCCTAGAATCAGAAGGGGATTAGTCTGAATGCCACATCACAAACCCCCATGCCTTTACATTTTTTATTGGAATTTTCGCTCCACCTTCGTGTCCTTTCGGCCCATCGCGTCCAGCGCAGCAGAGGCTCTCGGAGGTAATGACCGCCTCGTTAGAAAAGACAATGGCCAGTCGTGTTCATTTTAGCAATGACATGTCCGCTGCGTAATCCCACGTCCACGAAGGCCGTTCCCCGCAGCCCACGCAGCGCCGCGTCGCCTTCGGTTATTGTTTAAAGGCTCCGCCGCGCGCCTGTGGGTTTAAAAGCAAGTCCTGTGCGCGGCCTCCGTCGTTTCTCCACTGGCCGAAGGGTTTATGGCTGCGGCCTCTCGTGACTGCCGCATGTGCGTCTGACAATTTAATGCAGATGGCGTTTCTTCTTCTTTTCCAGTCTTAGCCAGACAATCCGGTACTCAAAATCAGGCCGAAATCAGCCAGACTAGATAGTGAAGGAAGTCTCTCGCACTACTATGTCCCATACTTTAAGATATTGTTCCTGCATACGTCTGGAGGTAGCGCGAGGAAACCACGCGGACCTTCGTAGGCGCGGCATCGGCGCCGTTCGACCGCTTCCCGTCATCGTCTGACACCGAAAATACTCCAATGAAAGACATTTCAGTCTTTATTCTTTTCTTCAGTTGCGAACTTCAGTTACAAACGCATCTTACCTTATGAATTGGGTGGTTTCGAAAAATATGAGAGTAAAGTAAGGGATGCCGTCCTGCATAGGCGAGGTTGCTAAGTCCGAAGGGCGGGCGATGATTTCGGTTCAAGGGTCGCGGGTTCGAATCCCGTCCCGGGCATGTATGTCTGTGAATGTTGTTGGTATGTGTTCCCTCACCGTTACCCTAGAGTTGAAAGTTACAGAGGTCGCTAAATGGCTGAGCAGTTGAGAAGCGACCTTAAAGAAAATGGAAGGTAAGGGCCTTTATACAGGTTCAAATTACTAAACATAACCCAGCAACAAAATGAATATTTAAATTATTTTCCAATTTCGTATGCGTTTATTACTTTAAGACAAGTTCTGACTCGTATGGAGGTAGTAGAAAGTCATAATAAATATTCATGATTATCGTTATTCGAGGAAGTTTGGTGCAATCATCGTTTTCGGTCATTAAATTTCCGTATTTCCTGCTGCCTTTTTTGCTACTGTCAGTCGCACTATTCAAATACTTTATTTTCTACGGGCACATGCAATACAGCTGCAATGAGTGG